GCCGCAAGAATATGAATGCGATCGTATGGCGAGACAATTCGGACCGAATTTGAGACGAGTAAGCCTATTGCGTACGCGACACGAGCGAGAATAAGACACGAAAGAATATGTTTGGGAGTCGATCTCGACGAGATCGCCCGAAACTGAGAGAGACGCTCAGAGATGAGCGAGAAGTGGTGTGTTACGCGAATCCGTAGATCTGCTGGAGGATAAGGAGATTGAGAAATGAGTCGAGTGCAGATGTTAAGAAATGTTCTTTTTATTTTGAATAAGAGGAGCAAGCGACGGCACGTATTCCGCGATTCCGACGGAGATCTTCAAATGTCCCGTTAATGTTTGCCCTTTTTCGCGGTTCGGAAATCTTGATTAAGAGCTTCTTGCTAGAAACTCTCGCGAGAGCGGAAATCTTGCACGCGAACGCCGAGTGTTGCTTGGCGCGAGGCAGAGGACATTCGCGGAACGGTTAACGCGCGTCGACTCTCGGACTCCACACTCTTAACACTTAACAACCTTCTCGAACCAGTTGTTTGTCACAGTTTTTCATTCTAAGAAGAATGCGATCACGCACCGAGCGGGTGACCGCGACGCTGTTTGTTCTCGCTCGTGTTTTATTTTCTGAGGCAATCGTTTTAATATAACGGCGAAATTTAGAAACGAAAATTTAATGATTCAATTTTGAACAACTTGTTTTAATTATTCGAAAGTGAGATAACTTATTTTCATATTTAGCTCTATTTTGAATTATTTTTAAATAATTGTTTTAAATTGAATTATCAACCAAACTTAACACACCTCATTTTTGTAAGTCTATAGATTAAGAAAAATCAGTTCGTTGAAAATTAGTTTCCTCAAACGTTATTGTTTTATGTAATATATTAATTGACATATTAAAAATTAAAAAAAAAAGTCCTATTTCATAATTTTACTTCAAATTTATACAGGAAATTAAATCTCTTTTTTTCATTATAAGTAAAACTAGGTGTTTCGATCGTTTTAGTGTCTCCAACATATAGACCACTTTTCTAATTCTAAAAATAATCTAAATCTACTAAATTATAAATTTAAAAATATTTTTAAAAGACGATTAAGTTTTGAATCTGCGCTTAACGATAAATCGTATAACATCATATATCATATATTATGAACATAATATCCACACTCACACGCACATATATATGCATGTGCACATGTACATTGTAATCATACAAATTTATATCTTCATTGTTGCAGAAAATGATGAATCGAGTGGTGAAAATTTAGCTCAAGCAAATGCAAGTGCAAACGCAAGTACCTCTGCAGACATTGAAAATGTGTCTAATGAAAACAATGAAGTGGTTATGGATGCTGCAGAAGCAGCCGTACAAAATGTTGATGTCGAAGAATTTGATTATGAATTTAGGATAGACAGTAAAAATATTATAATTTCTAATGATGAAATCTCAGCTAACCCAATGCTATCTCGTCATTTTCGATGTGCTAGTCACACGTTAAGTTTGATCGCTACTACAGACACGACGAACGCGATAAATAAATGTCCAGGAATCAAAACAGCTCATATTAGAAATGCCATGGATAGATGTCAAGATCTGTGGAAATGCTTAAACTCACCAAAAAAACGAGAAGAGTTAAGAAAAGTTATTAGATGCAGTTTGAAAAGACCGGTTCCAACAAGGTGGAATTCTTTATATGATGCCTTAAAACAAATACATTCGTTAAGAGAAAAAATAATGAGCTTCGAAGTTCACAGCATTATACAGATTACAAGTCCGTTTCGGGATCAAGATTTTGAATATATCATAGAATATTTACAATGGTGCAAACCTTTTTTTTTGGTTACGGAGGAGAAATGCCTTTACGTATCCCCCGCCTCGATGGGGTTCGAGGCGGGGTTATGTGGGACTCACCCCCGGCTTAAACAAACAGCCGAGAGATTACCCTCTAAAACCCTTCCGGGTGGCATACCTGGGCGTTGTTGAAAGCCTCTCCGGAAACTGGCATTTGCACTACTTCGGAGAGGCCCTCCGCCCACGAGCCTAGCTCGCTGGGGGGGGGAGTCAAGTTCCCCCCTAGGGTCCCCGTTGTTGTGGGGACTCCTGCTCGTACTGGGGAAAGGGGGACCACCGCCCCTCTCACCCACATCCCGCCGTTGGCGTGGCCGGGCCCAGGTACCCCACCTGGATCCCCGGCCACCAGGCCCGGTTTGGGGTAGGGCGCTCTCGACGAGACGAGAGCCCTCCCAACCCGTTCGGGCCCTGCGCATCTGCGGAGGGAGCTGATGAGGACCGGAGCCAATAAGCCCCAGGTCCGCTCACACCACTCGCGCCACCCCGCTGCTTGGGAGAGTTTTGTGGGCGACGGGGGACAACAGTCCCCGCGCCCGTCGAGCCCCCCCCCCCGATGGGGCCTCCTGGCACGGCATCTCGTGCCTCCGCGACCGAAAGACGTGAAGGGTTGGCGGGTCCTGCCAGCAAAAGGCCCTGCCCGCCTACCCCTCCCGCCTCCGGTCACGCCTCCGCGCCCGAGGGCTCCCCGGCGTCCGCCAGGGAGTCGCTCCCTCTCTCTCTCGGCCTCCTCCTTCTCTCTTCGAGCGGTGAGTATTGACAGACGTGTTTTATATCGCTCTGCATCTTAGATACTTTTCTGCCGCTTTTTGCCTCTCGGGGCCTTTACTTTCTGGTGCAGGTCAGTCAAAGCTGTTTTTTGCTTGCTTCTTTGCACTTTCGTGTGGCTGCTTGGACAGTGTGGTCAATCGAGGCTTTCTTTCGGATTGATTTTGGATCTGAGCTCTCGTTCGAGATATAACTTACGGTCGGCGGTGAGTTGCGTGGCGCTGAGGCGGGCCGGCGGTATAGCCATCAAAACAAACAGGCTGAAATGTCAAGCCAGGACAAGGATGACAACATGCTTGCTCTGTCGCACCTAAGCGTACTCTCACAAAACGGCATTCTAGTTCAAATCTGTCAGGTATGTTGGAAAGGTCTACGGGCAATGTAATGAAGGTCTCTAGGATAAATGCATTGAGAAATTCTATTAGCGTGCACAATGATGCGGTAGCCAAAATACTTGTGTCTAGCAAGGAGTCTGCTGAGAAAAAACAACAGATTGAATCTGCCTTCCGTGTTGGTAAGGAGGCCTTCTTCGATCTTTCATCTGCTTGTCTCTTTATGCTCGAAAACAACGAGCCGGTGTCTTTTCCATCCTTAGGCGATATCAAAGACGCTGTTGTAGGGGTGTTGTCAGACTTTCATTCTGCGCTTTCTGTGCTCGCGTCTGGTGCGTGCGCGGAGCGTGGGGATGCGGGGGACGGCCCTTCTTGCGCCCCCCGCACCTTCGCATCCGTCGTGGGGGCTGGCGGGACCAGAGTGTACGTCGCACGCGGTCCGTCCCTTGAGATACCTAGGACAACCAACCTGCTAATCGTACCCATGGATGACAAATCGGAAAAACTTTGCAATTCCAAGGACACTAGAGATGCGCTCGTAAGCGCTGTAAAACCTTCCGATTTCGACCTTAGAGTCAAAAGGATCTCTTCGGCGCGAGGAAACGGGGTGCGCATTGAGGCTCATTCTGTCAACCTGACCAAGATGATGGACTCGAAAGAGCTGGCCAGGGCCGGACTCAGAGTGGAGCGCGAAACCAAATTCAACCCTAGGCTAATTATACACGGAGTCCCATGCAGACTGACCACTGCTGAGGTTGAATCGGAGATAGTGGCTTTAAACCTGACTAACCACGACGGGGCGAAGGTGAAGGTCCTCTATAGGTTTCCTCCGAAGGAGAATCGTTCGACCACGTAACTCGTTAATAATATTGGATTTATGCATAATTGATGATGATGAGAAGCTGGTTTCTTTTGGACAGCAGGATGTATGCTTTCTTTCTAACTACGATCTGATCTCCATTAAATACAATATTAGGATTGAGCGCCACCAGAGGCGAGCTATTAGAGTGAGGGATTTCCGCTCTTTCAGCATGGATGACTTCCGCAACGATCTCTCATCGCGTGATTGGAACTCACTTCTGTGCGCTCAAGATGTGAATCACAAGATCTGTATATTAAATAACTTCCTTTTGGAATGCTATGACAAGCATGCTCCGCTTAAGAATATCAAACCCAGGCATCTTCCAGCGCCCTGGCTAATTGAGGACATTAGGGCTGCGATGAGAGAGAGGGATAGAGCGAGAAGAGTATGGAGGAGGCGTAGAACTACTGCCAATTACTCAGCGTATAAGACCATGAGAAACGGCGTACAAGTGGCTGTGCGCGATGCCAAACGCGATTGTTATTGCAGTGCCCTTCACAACATAAAAGATCCCAACGACATTTGGAAAAAACTGCGACATCTTGGCCTCATGAAGCCTAAATCCTCGAACTTGATGCTCCTCTTCTCAATTGAAGAGCTGAATGATCACTTCTTGCATAATGCGAGAGCAGCAGAGGTTCTTGATAATGTCCACCTGGGTGACCAATCTTATGACGACACTAAGTTCTACTGGCACAACATCGAAACTCAGATGGTAGCCAGAGCGCTGGCACGAAACAAATCTGGAGCTGTGGGGATAGACGGGCTGACCTCGAAACTGATTTCACTAGCCTTGCCGTGCATACTGCCTTTTGTCACGCACATATATAATTACTGCATCTCCAACAGTGTATATCCGGATACTTGGAAGTCCGCCCTAATCTGTCCGTTACCAAAAGTCAAATGCCCTACCAATCTTCAACATTACAGATCAATATCAATCTTATGTTTGCTTTCTAAAGCGCTCGAGCGCATTGTTGCGGAGCAGATCATCCATCACCTCGAGACTTTCAATCTGTTTGATCCACAGCAGACTGCATACAAGAGAGGCTTTTCAACACAGACTGCATTAATAAGGGTAATGGATGAAATACGGCATGCGACTAATCGAAGAAAAGTAACCATCGCAGTGTTCTTCGATTTCACGAAAGCCTTTGACAATGTCAATCATCGCATTCTCATACACAAACTGAGACAGCTCAACTTTTCCTGCGAGGCGTTAAGATGGCTGTATGCCTACTTAGACGGAAGACGGCAGGCCGTGCGTGATCCTATCACTGGCGACAAATCTCCTATGAGGTTGGTTACGAGGGGTGTGCCTCAGGGATCTGTCCTGGGACCTCTGCTATTTGTCCTCTACCTATCTGATTTTGGCGGGATATTGGAGCACTGCAACTATAACTTTTACGCTGACGATCTGCTAATTTATCTGCATGCAGAACCTTGTGACCTGCAGAGTGGGATACGCAGGGTGAATGAAGATATAGAAAACGTTGTGAGATGGGCAGATAATAATCAGCTCACGTTGAATGCTAACAAAACAACTTCCATGATTCTTGGAACTGCGAGATACATCAACAATATTGAATTTGAAGATCTACCCGGAATATCAGTGGATAATACTATTGTTCCGTATAAGGAGTCTGTTGTTTATCTAGGCGTCACTATATCCCAAACACTATCGTGGGATAAGCAAGTAGCCAAGACTGTTTCCAAAGTTAACGCCGCGTTATATCAACTAAAGCTATGTGGGCATCTTTTTACTCAATCTTTGCGCGCACGTCTGGTCACTACTTTGATTTTTCCGTTAATTGATTATTGCTGCACGATTCTTACGGATATCACGGGTGAGCTCAATCTAAAGCTCCAACGGGCATGTAACGCGAATGTCAGATTCGTCTGTAGGGCTGAACGGGATGAGCATATCACTCCATATTACATCGAATTAGGTTGGCTGAAGACGAACGCTAGACGAAAGTATTTTGTTGGCTGTCTAACTTTCAATATCTTGCAATCGAAACGACCCTATGACCTTTTCAACACTTTCACGTTTCGTAATGTCGTATCTGAGCGAAATACGAGGGCGTCTAGCGACCTGCTCGCTTTACCTCCGTGTCGTACGGAACTCTTTAGGCGATCGTTCAGGTGTTGTGCCCCGCGGCTATGGAATGAAATACCGAGCGACGTTCGATCTTGTTCTACGTGTAACGAATTTAAGATCAAGTTTTTCGATTATCTGCTCTATGGTGGCAACTGAACTCAGTTCTCACATGTTTCTGCGCTATAATCTTACTCATGCCTTGTTCGCATCGTCACCTCATGTATACATACTTGAACATACACACCAATCTGCACGCATTCTCTCATACCCACACACACACACTCACACACACACACTCACTCACATACTAGAACATACACCTGTACTCACTCGTTTACTCACTCTTTCACACTTTATATTAATTATCGATTTGTATTATTTAATTCTTTCTTTCTTTTTATTTTTGTAAATGATCATTATTTATTTTGTTACATTTTCATATTGTATATAGTGCTGTGCGCTTAATGGGATTCTATCCCGGAGCGCCTAATAAATATTGAATCTATTCTATTCTGCAGCATGACGGCTTCGCAGAAGAAGGAGACCGCCTTCCAGGACCTCCCGCTCTCAAGCATCTCCGCAACGATGCCCGAGAGCGAGAGGTCATTCCCCCCCAATTGTTGGACGAGGACACGGCGCTCTTCCGCCCACGCTGGACAGTGTTCCAGCGTGTGCTGCGCCGTATCCTCGTCCCCGCCGCAATGGTGGCAGCGCGCGTCTGCTTCGCGCCCGATGCGGCACAGAAACGAGCCAAAACATCCATGGCCCGTCAGTATCTGTGCCACACGGTATGACACCTCGCCATCCGCCCTTGTTGGACGAGGACACGTGTTCCAGCGTGTGCTGCGCCGTATCCTCGTCCCCGCCGCAATGGTGGCAGCGCGCGTCTGCTTCGCGCCCGATGCGGCACAGAAACGAGCCAAAACATCCATGGCCCGTCAGTATCTGTGCCACACGGTATGACACCTCGCCATCCGCCCTTTCCACCCATTTTATTAAACGGGGGCGGATGGCCTCGACGACGCGCATTCCCGAATTGTCTCGGGGATTGGAGAGGTCCTCGCTCTACCTCTACAGCATTCGTCGTCGAGCCTGGAGCCTCACGGCAGCCCTGACCCGCGGGATCAAATCTACGCCTAGCCCATTGAGCTCCTTGGTACGCCGGTAAACCTCGGCGCACATCTGTGCATAGAGCTCGATGGGCGGCAATCCCGCCAGTATGGAGGCCGCCGTATACGACACCGCCCGATATCCGCGGATAACCCTGATGGCGACCCGCCTAAAAATTTGACGCAGAAGCATCATGCTGCGCCTAATCGCCATCAGGTCATCCGCCCACACTGGTGACCCGTAAAGGGCCACCGCCCGGACGGTCGTCGCATATAGGCGGCGCACTTTCCCGTCCGGCCCCCCTAAATTGGGCAGGAGGCGGCTCAAGGCATGAGCCACTGCCTCCGCCCTGGGGGCCAGACGTTCGAAATGCCCGCCGAAGCTCCAAGTAGCGTCCAGGTAGAGACCCAGGTATTTCAATTGGGTCTCCACCCGGACGGAGGTGTCATCCACCACGACACAGGCCGTTTCCGGGGGGGCTCCGCGCATACGGTTCCGTTTCTCCCGATAAAGGAAGAGCGCTTCAGACTTGTGAGGCGCTACCTCCAGGCCCATGCCGTGAATCGCGCGAACGACGCACGCCACCGCGACGTTGGCCGTTCTCACGGCTTCCCCTCAGCTATCTCCCTCGGCCAGCACTATTGTGTCGTCAGCGTATCCGACGACACTGGAGCCAGGGGGAGGGCAGTGCCTAGTACTCTGTTGTACGCGAAGTTCCACAAGGTGGGGCCCAAAGCTGACCCCTGTGGAACCCCGCAGTACACTCCCCTTCCGCGTAGGAGTACACCGCTATCGGTGTACTCCAACCGTCTGTCCCGGAAGTACGCTCCAAGGACCTCCATCAGGTAGGGGGGGAGGCCAAAGCTATCAGCGGCCTTCCTCACCCTATTCCAGGACAGGGTGTTAAAGGCGTTGTGGATGTCTAGTGACACCGCAATCTCCACCCTGCCATCCTCCATGATGGACCCCACGAGGGATTGGACGCGCATAATCGCGTCGATCGTCGATCTCCCCTCGCGGAATCCATACTGTTCCTGGTGAAAGTCCATACCACCCCGGGACAGATGCCGGACGAGGCGGTCCACCAGAACTCGCTCCAATAACTTGCCCGCCTCGTCCAGCAGGCAAATTGGCCGGTAGGCGAAAGGGGAATTCCCAGGCCTGCCCACCTTGGGGATGAGGACCAATTTGGCCCTCACCCAAGCTGGGGGGAAAAAACCTTGCCTGAGGCAGCTCTTCACGAGCTGCCTCAAGCGCTCGGACAGGTGGGCCAAGGCAATGACCCAGACCCGGCCGGGAATACCGTCGGGGCCCGGGCCTTATTGCCCCGTAGCCCTAATCGGTGGATTACCCCGGCCATTTCGTCCTCTGTCACCTCCAGGTCGTCGGTCCACGGAGCGGCGGTCTCCTGGCCGCCGCTCTCGGAAAAGGGAGGACCCTCTAGAGGAAAAAGGGTCCCCAGGACATCATTGAGGACCTGGGAATCGAGGGACTCTGTCACCGGGGGCGCCCATGGCCTCAGCCTGTTTAACACAAGCCTATACGGGTGCTCCCATGGGTCCGAATTTAGGGAGTGAAAGAGCTCGTCCCACTCCCTAGCCTTGGCCCGTCTAATCGCGGCGCTGAGTGCGTTCCGTGCGGCTCGGAAGCACTCATACGTCGTGGCCGTCTTCTCGGCGTCGTTACGACGCCGAGCTTGGGTGAAGCGGCGTCTGGTGGCTATCGACATTTAATTTTAAGAAAAATTAAGTCTTCCTCTAATTTTTGTGAGGAGTTTATAATTATTATTTATTACTAATTTTATTATTATTATATACATATTGTTATTTATTTTTTATTTAATATTCAATAATCTATATATATAGATAATATATATAATAAAAAATATATCACAAATTACAATTTGCATATAAACACAGATCTATATCTCTATGGCTTTATTTTTAAATACAGTCTTTAAATTGTTAAAATAAATAGAATTGTTAAAATAAATTGTTAAAATAAATAGAGGTATAGAAATATTTTGTTTAAATAATCTAACCTACCTTTAATTTTTACTTTTCTGTCAAGCACTTCACATGAATATCAAATATATTATATATACATATACATATATATATATATATATACATATATATAAATGTGCCGGTGCCATTTCCCTCTGGCGTCGCGGAGGTCCATCACGACCTGTGATACGATCTTCCGGACTTCCAGGGGTCCGATGTATCTAGGCGCCGGCTTGGCGTTGAATGCGCCGCTCTTGCTGGAGAGGGGCCGATCTCTCTTCCAAACCTGCTTGCCTATCTGCGGACGCCAGTCGCGCCGACGCAGATTATAATGGCGTTCCTGTCGGTGGAACGCGCGAGCCAGGTGGATACGGACCACTTCGAAGGCCTCTTCGAGCCGCTTTCGGTTGACGTCCGGACTTGGAGCTGGGGCCGGCGGTCTCCGGTCCTCCGGGTGGGGTCGTGCCAATTCGCGCCCGTGTATGATGTACGCCGGGGTGTATCCGGTGGCCTCGTGTCTCGCGGTGTTGATCGCGAATTGTAGTGCGATGATCCGCTCATCCCAGTTTTTGTGCTGCTTCCCCACGTACTGGGCGATCATGGTCTTTACTGTGCGGTTGGCCCGCTCGACCGGGTTGCACTGAGGCGCATAGACGGGCGATTTGCGGTGCGCGATCCCGAAGGCGGCAAGGAGCGTCTTGAATCGCTGGAACGTAAACTGGGTCCCATTATCGGAGACCAGCGTTGTTGGGCACCCATGCCGATATATGAGATTTTGAGTCACGGCATGTGCCAGATTCTCAGCGGTGGCCCGGCGTAATGGAACCATCTCTAGCATCGCAAATTGTAGCGCGACTATCCGCTCATCCCAGTTTCGGTGCTGCTTCCCCACATACTGTGCGATCATGGTTTTCACCGTGCGGTTGGCCCGCTCAACCGGGTTGCACTGAGGTGCATAGACTGGCGATTTGCGGTGCGCGATCCCGAAGGCGGCAAGGAGTGTCTTGAATCGCTGGTACGTAAATTGGGTCCCATTATCGGAGACCAGCGTTGTTGGTCACCCGTGCCGATATATGAGATGTTGAGTCACGGCATGCGCCAGATTCTCCGCGGTGGCCCGGCGTAGTGGAACCATCTCTAGCCACTTGCTGAAGCGGTCTTGGATGGTCAGCAGCCAAGTATGCCCCTTCGTGGATCGGGGTAGTGGTCCGACCAAGTCGACGGCGGCCTGCTGCCAGGGGACGGTACAACCTGTATGTGCGGTCTCGGAGTAAATTCTACTCGCACTCGGGCTGGGTACTGGCCGCGACATTTCCGGCCCGCGGTCCGTTTCCCGCCGGGGGATGACAATCTCGAGTCAAAACCCCGTCTTTCCCGCACCGGGAGCAAAACTTTCTCGGCGGCAATCCTATCCAGAAAGTCGGCTGGCCGTGATTCTACATCCGCGAGCATGCGGCGGTACCAGCGGCACGTTGGTTGTCGCGTGACCGCGTTGGCCTCTCGTGTACGAGACAGGGCATCGGCCACCCGGTTAAGGGCCCCTCGGCGGTATTGTATATCGAAGTCGTGCTGCTGAAGCTCGAATATCCATTGCGGCCGGTAGGTTCTTCGATCCGCTGCAGCCAACGGAGGGCCTGGTGGTCGGTCAAGACCGTGAAGCGGTAACCCTCGAGATACTCGCGCATCCGCCGGATGCCCCAAACGACTGCCAGGCACTCCAACTCGGTAGCGCTGCTTTTCGGAGGCCGCGTTCAGTTTTCGATAGTCGATGCAGAATCGGTAGGCCCCTTCCTTCTTCTTGATCAGAACGATTGGAGAGTTCCAGGCGCTAGTTGAGCGCTCGATGATTCCCTCCTTCTCCATAGTCCGTACTTCCTGGTCAATGATGGCCTGCATCGCCGGATTACGTGGGCGATATCGTTGTTTGATGGCGGGTCCGGGCTTTAATCGGATGTGGTGTTGTACCCGATCGGTTGGCCCTTGAACCCGCTCGAACTTCGGTAACTCGATCGCTAAAAACCTTTCTAGACGCTGGGTTTC